GGCAGCACTTTCCATAAATTACTCTCAAATTCAATACGTTGCTTGACAAAAACAAGAATAAAGGGCTTTTTACTTTAAAAAAAGAAAAAAACTTGTATCATAAAAAAAAAAATCTTTAAATTATAGTTTCTCTTTTTTGGTCCAATTTACATTGTTACATGGTTGCTAAATTAGTGCTGTAATCTCTGCTTACAAATTGCAGAATTATTTTTAAAAATAGATGTAATTTTACTGCAGGGATCAACCTCACGCTTTAAACCGTATGTGCTGGAGGTAGCTGCTCTTGCACAGCTTTCGAACAATCCCACTCCCGTGCACACGCAGGGTGAGGTTGACAACACCAGTCGCCCTGAAGCCGATGGCACTTTGACCAAGATTTCAATGAGCACAAATTGAGTTAACAACGACATTTCAGAACAATTAAGCAAATTTAAGCTTTCCCAGGATGCTCCATGGCACCAGTGGCTCTAGTCACATTATTTTCTAAACCATCACCATTTCTTTTGTGTTCTGGTCTGAACTATCTTCTACCAAACTACAGCCTCTGATAGGCCAGCAAGTTAGAAGCTAAGAAGAGTGAAAAACCTTGAAAATATGGGGTTTTTTTTGCTCACAAAACAATAATCAGCGGAAAACACAAAGCACTATGATCCTGAGTTTAAAGCTGGGGAACAGCAGTGATCAGGACATTACCTCCATGCACAGTTCTTCCCCTTCAAGCACTTCCACAGCTTTAGCACTACAGAAAGATGAACCTCACCCTGCACAATCCTCGTAAGGGATCTTTGGGGTAGGGTTTAAGGTCACGTCCTCAATATCCTGCAGCGCGCAGCAGAAACAGGAAACCTCGATCCCTGGGGCACTGCAGAGCATACCCAACATCTTCACCCACTCTAGACAGACAGACACTAGACAATTTCTTTCCTCTCCTTCAATCGCTCATCATTTCCAACCCACCACTTCTCCAAACTCTTTCATCTGACCCTGGCTATTTTGTCTTTCCTCGATTAGTTATTTCTGCTTTCTTCGCCCCTTCCCCATCGCACCATGATCCTTCCATTGGCCCAGTGGTGGGTCACATTGACTTGGACACGACAGAAGAAACCCTCAGCGGCCAGGAGCATCTGTAAGATGTCGGTGCTTTCAGCGCTAACTGCAGGTGCTCAGCACCTTTCCACCCTCAGCCTCGGAGGGTCTATCTCCAACTGCCAACCACTGGACTGCCAGGAAAGCAGGTAAGGAAGGGAGGAAAATTTCCACGTGCCAGAGAATGTCATCAGGACATCAAAGAACATCCCATTCACAAAACAGCAGCATGACTCTTGCCAGATCAGTGTGTCTGGTTAACCTTGTGCTCAGTCCTTATGATAATACGGTATTTGGAAAGTAGACAGCTGGCACGGCTCTAACATCTTGCTCTTCAATCTTTTATAACCACGGTTCCACTGATATTACTCTTAACCTTTTCTCTGCTCTGAGCCCAGTGCTAAAATCTCTTCAACTGCTTAGAGGAAGCAAACCAAATGTTTTTTGTCAGTAATGTGCCCTGTAAGGGAGGGGAAAGTACACCGAGAACACACTGCGGACACAGTATTCATCACGTGTACAGCGCTGCTTACACTGGAAACCCTATCGTGATATTTCTGATGGTACTTGACTGTTGTAATGACAGGGAGACATCTGTCTCCTATTAACACTTTATCTTTTACAGTTGCTTTTAGTTCAGCAAGAAGCCTCTTAATGGAGAAGACTGGTACTCTTTTAGAAATAACATTAATAATGAAAGAATCCTTGGATGCAGAGCAAAACCAGCGAACACATTGGCAACAGAACTCACCGCATTCATAAGATGTAACAGGAAATGATAACGACTGGCTTTTGGGTGGGGGGATTTTTGTGTGAAAGAAATTGACCTAGTACTTAAATTCCAATTAGGAAAAGTATTTTTTTTTTAAAAAAAAACCAGGTGATTGATCTCTTTACATGTTAATTCAGACTTCTGGGGAATTTCATCTTAACTGGGTCACCGATAAATAAAACCAGAAACAAAACAACCCTCCTGCAGGCTATTTAGGCTTGGTATTGACTAACAAGTAATTAAATACAGCCCTTCACAATAATCTTAATTATGGCTTTATTCCCTCACAACTAAGAAGAGTCACATAATAAACTGAGAAGATTAGCCAATTCCAACTGTTGAAAAATGTGTATTTTATTTTTGCACATAGTTTTTATGCGCGTATGGCCACAAGTCACACAAGGGAATTATTAAAAAAAAATCAAAGAATTCATAAATTTGCATATCACAACCAGGCAAATAATATAGTGCCTTTTCTTTATATAAATGGAGCAGCTTGGGCTAATGGCTTGGATAAGAAGTTAAAAGGTGTGGACTTGGGGAAATGGGGATGTGCTAGAGATCAGTGTGAATTACAGAGGCCAGTAAACAGGCTTCATTGAATTACTCAGATTTACACCAGCTGAGAATCCTGTTTTCTCAGCTGGCCACAGTCACAGATTAGCCATGCAACCTCGGGCTAGTCACACAGGCTCCACCTTCCATGAGAATTCAGGTCCACAGGAATGTAAGTCTGGGTTCTTCAGTCCCACTGATTTCCTGCAGAACCAGGGCTCCAACTGTCCCAAGTTCTTTTCTGATAATGGCACTTGGGGAAGCGCCAAAAAAATCAGAGGCCACAATTCAGCAAAATCCTTAAGAACAGGCTAGATTTTAAGCAGGTCATTAACTCTCCCTGACTTCAGTATGACCGCATCACACATCTAAAGGCAAAAGCATTGTGATTGTGCCTCAGCAATTCAAGGGTCCCCAATCCATTTCCAAGAACAACTTGCAAGTCTAGCTAAGGCCCTCAGTCTATTTAGGCACTCATCATCCTACTGAAGCCAATGCAGACCTCATTTCATTGAAAAAATCAATGAGACATATGCTCTACAACACAAAATTCCTCAGGCCTGAAGTCAATAGCATGGCAGGTGCCTCGATGCACAGCAGAGTCCTGAGCTTTCTGAATGGTATCAAGACTTAAGCTCCCAACACTTGCTTCTTCCACATTTATGAATTTAATGTGTGCTTGGGTGTTGGGTGTTTTGGTTTTTTTTTTTCATTCTTTGCTACATCGGATTGCCAGATCCCTGCTTTCCATTTCCAACTCGTGGTACCAGCTGCCCAGCTGCACATATGTAGCCCCATCAGCACTGCCATCCCTTCCCATGGTACCAGCTGCACATACGTAGCCCCATCAGCACTGCCATCCCTTCCCCTGCATGTGCAGCAGCAGATGGATCCAGACGTGTTTTGGGTTAAGTCCATAACCAGGTTTTTGTGGACTGCATGGATAAACATTTAAAGGCCCCTTCTGGTTATATAAAAAAAAGCTATTAAACGTTGACTCTTTCCTCTGTACTCCAAGCTGCAAAGCGGTATCACAGAACGTACAAACGCAGATGCAACCAGGCAATTATCATTCCTTTATTCCTTAAATAGATAGAAGATAAATTTGAAAGAAAATTAGGAACAGAATCCTTCTCCCTTTCCTTTTTTATCCTTTTATCTCCCAATGTAGGAAGTTTACTGAACTCTTGCCAAAAATTCACTCAGGCTAATGAAGTGTATAAGTAATGGGATTAAATAATCTTAAACCATTACTACAGTGGCTAATGCAGATGTTTTCCCAAACTAAAGCAGATGAGTGGTGAAGAATGCGTGCTTGATTTAAAAAAGAGGAAAAGAAAATATCAATCTGCAAGCAGATGAAGTCAATTCCAGCCTGAAGTCAATGAAACATTTAACTCAAGTTACATAAAGTCATTCCAACTACTATGAATGTACCTTCCTAAAGTCTGCAGTGGTCACACATGGTCAAACTTGCCATGAAATTAACCTTAAATTTTTTACGGTGCAACCATTTTAGTGCAAACAAAAATGGCAAAGGTTTAAAAGGTACACATTCCATCAAAAGATCATTTACTTTTTAAAAGCCAATTAACGAGGTCCATATATCACTGTCATTGTAAAAAAGACAGAATTATCCCTTTTTTATATTCAATACTTCAGCAATAATCCCACTGCAAATCCCAAAGCAAATTCCACTACTGCAGAAACAGAAGGAATAATGGGATGCTAGTGGCATTTTCAGAAATACATATTATTGCTTCAATTATTACTGGAATGCCAAAAGTGTCACAAAAAGCATCAATTTTTACTTTCAGAAGTGCAAATCCAATTCTGGAAGGGCCTTGGCTCTAGCATTTATAAAAAGAACTCTGAACTGGAGGTTTCGAGAAAGACCTATCAACACTTTAAGATACTTTTCGTATTCTAAATCACAAGGATTATCCCTATATCCTGGATGCTAAGGTCACAACATTATACGATGTTCCTTTAATCTGTAACTGTGCAACTGGTCCCAACCAGGTCTTACAGGAGCCTCTTAAAAGGTGCAGCTCCTCAGAGCAACTGTTAATTGTTTGCGCTAAGAGCTTGTTGGAGGCATGAAATGAAATTTTAGGGTAAACTTCCAAAGATACCCAATCCAAAGACCCTGAGTTCAGGAGAAGGACTTCCATCAAGCAATGCAAGGTGTTGATTTTAGAAGTTTTAGTGCCATCTTGCACCTCACCTTCTTAATCTCAGCAGGCACCACAGTTTGTAAGCATTTGGGTATCAGGCTTCTCAACACAGAAAGCTTCTGAGCACAACACTACCTTTTAAGAATCACTCCATCGTCTGCTCCTTACAGAGCTCTTTCCCCTGCTTCGGCCACTTCATTTCAGAGACAGGTTAGATTAAAAAACAAAATTCACCCGGACAGGCTGAAATAATCAGAATTCTGTTGAAGACCATGGCAAAGCTGATGCCCACAGCACTGCCATGGGATTGTTGGGTTTTCACTGTAAGGCAACCGCACAGCAATGAAATAAATCAACATTTCCAACGTCTGTGCATTAAAATTGGGGTGCAAACAAGAATGGGTACTTACAATATAGCAGGGTTCACAGTAGGCTTTCTTCTCCACCGCGTAGAAAGGCTGGCCCCTCAGCTTGTTGTTGCACATCATGCAGGTGAAGCACTCCACGTGGAAGACCTGGTCCATGGCCGTGCAGCCGGTGCCTTCCCCAACAACATTCTCCCCACAGCGGGCACAGCGCCCTGTCACCAAAGGGAAAGGACACGAGTCAGAGCAAGCTCCTGGTTTCAACTGCAGAGAAGGTCCTCCTGCACACCCGTGCTGCATAGCAGGCAAGGGCGACAGGTCAACCCAGTCCAGAGAAGAACAATTTGTGCCACTGCTGGCAAAGATCCAGTGCCATTGGGAAGCACTCTGGTGCTGGCCCACGTGGAAAGACCAACTGAGGCTTGAAACCGGCTCCCAACACTGCACTGGTACCAGTTCTACTGCTGCTGCTAGCCAGGGATCATCAGGAGGAGTCTAAGCCCCAAATGCAAACCATTCAGCTATCATCTAATCCCGCTACACAGTCACCCTCAGCTCCTCAGCGAGATGGGATAAACCTGTGCCTAAAGCTTTGCCTCCACATGAAAGGGTTTTGTGGTAGGATGCCTCGTAAAGCTGCCTGGTGGAAGCACAATTGTTATCATTTAAAGAGTAGTTTTTGCTTGCACAGCTTAAACCAATTCCCTCCATGGAGCCAATGACACTGGGAAAATGATTTCACTTTTTACGCTTTTGCCGGTATAGCAGTATCAATCCTCATGCTCTTGCTAACGTACTGATGCTGGGCTAGTTGATATTTTAAATCAAAAGTAGTAGCTAAAGACTGAGTGATTACAAAGAGAGCAATATCTTCACTTAGATGGTAAAATGTCTTTTTTTTCTGTTTGAAGATTGATACGCATTAAGATATTGTGCCTATTTAAAGCATAGAAACTATTCCTCAAGGAATTGATGTGTGGATACTTTATTCTTATGGTACTTCAAGGAAAGTGTATCAGAAGCTGCTAGTAAGGACTCTAAGTAAAGACAAGCCCTAAGACCTCTGACTGTTTCTGAAAAAGGTTCCTAATGCCACGTACAAACATATAGCAGACGAAAAACCTGCACACACACACACATATATATGCAAAATTGTTGTTGGAAATGTTATGTGGCAGATAGATTTAAAGCAAAGCAGCATGTCAGAGAAAGAGGGTTTCTTAGAGCATGGGAAAGACATTTTCCTAGTGATGACTGTGATGCAGGGAGGATGGAAGGGGGTGGGTGGAAAGCACACCTTTGCAATTTTCCTCTGCCATTCATTTGAATTCTAGAAAGCAGAGATATCCCATGCAACCTGATGTCCTTACCCAGCAATCAGTGTTGAAAATAATTCATGCACAGAGCCATGGAAGGTGTTTAGGACAATCTCAGCCATGCTACACAGGAGAGTTCCACCGAAGGCAACAGAGCAACTATGTCCCACTGAAAAGGGTATTCTCCGGTTTGAGTATAGTTGTTGTGTCCCCAGTCTTGGGACCCTGCACTTCTCTTCAAGGCCCTATGGGTGGAGGGGTGTGGGATCTGAGGGTGGGAAGGAGGGGAAGGGAAGGGAGGGCTGAGGTGCAAGCAGGAAGGCAGACTGAGTTCAAAATGGAACTACTCATAAAAGCATATACAAATAATATGTCCCTAATAATAATTAAATAATCCAGCAACAATACAACGTTCTCCTATACCAGTGTCTGTGTTTCTTGGCCTTTTTAAACAAATCCTGCAAAACTTCCTAAAAGGACTTGGACATGTCCCATCATCCCAGCAGCAGGGCTGCTGTCCTTGCACAGTGCACCATCGATGTCCCCGCACTCATGACTTCTTCCGTACCTGTCCCAGACTCCAATAGGCTCCATCCAGGGAACAAAGCACGTAAGCTACTTTTGGATCCCTCAGGATGCGGCAGGATGATATATATACACACTTGAGATATATTAGGAAAGCTTGGAAAAGAACCCAGATCATTCCGATTTGCTACAACGGCATAACCGTTGCTGGCATTACACAGGACAGACAGTTCCTGACTCAAACGGCTCTCAGTCTGAACAATGTGGAGAGAGAAGTCACCAGATAAATCCAGACAAGCCTGGAAAACCCCCAGAAAGCAATTAATAATGTTGTTTTTAAACTTAACTTTCTTTAGCATTTGTTACTAGTGTTTTGATTGACAGTGTTGTGCTTTAATCGCTCCACGGTACCACTTCTTGTGAGGACTCCTTTTTTACAAGCGGAGAAGGAATGCAGGGTTCCCAGCATGGTGGTGAGGCTGCAGAGCGTGGGGGAAGAATGGAAAAATCCAGAAGGACTAGGAAGATGAAAAAAAAAAAAATCCCACTGGAGAGAATCACGGGAGCAGGACTGCTCTGGGAAGGAGGTAGAAGAAACTTACTGTATACATCACAGGAGCTGCACATACAACGAGAGAGCACTCCTTGGTCCTGTGTGCAGACAAGACCAAGCGTGCTCCGAGGTCTTCCCCAAAGTGCTCGTGTAGCTGGGCCGTAATATGAAGAGACATCTGGGGAGCAGTTAATATCTCTATATATAAAACATGAAATTGAAAGCCATTAGTGTATTAGTTTTCACAGTGTTTTTCCAGAGGGAATATTCCGCTGAAGAATTTCTTTTCCCTGGTGTGCCATTCTGTGATCATCCAGTATTATTTTTATGAGGCATTTGGACACGGAATAATGTAGTGTCTATGCAAACACTTCTCAGCTTTCTTTGTTAACATCTGAGTAGAACATGGGAGAATCTGGTCTTCTTCTCCTCTTCCTCTTCTCACATTCATAATTTAGCCAGCTCTTGTATACTTCAACATTTATCTTCCTCTTTGACCAAGGCATCTCTCCATTTGCTGGAGAAGCTGTCTATGCGTAGACCATACTTTTGGCTGTACTTCTTGTGTCAGGAGACCTGGGTCCGTCTCCTAACACAAATATATACTCTTGTAATCTCTGGCAAACCACTCGGTGCCTTTGTACCTCCATCCTGTCTTTGAGCAAAGGGCATAAAGACATCTTCTCTGCCTCCCGAAGGTGCCCTGAGGCTACATTCCTGCACAGCTCTGAGGCATTCCCCAGCTACACTGCTGGTGGCCAGGTACAAACCAAAGAGCAGCACAACAGAAGTCTTGGCCAACTTCTCCCCTTGAAGCTGGCATTTCCTTAGGCTTTCCTTCCTCTTTCTGGGTTTTTCCACAGCAGATTCCCATTCAGGCAGCGACAGGCTTAACCCATCCACATTTATGAGAAGCCCGGCTTCTGCTATTATGTACACAGACAGAAATGCTCCTGTAAACTCTCACACAGGAAAGCTGAAAGAAAGCTTCCTTTTTCCTAAGTTTATATGCAAATTGTAACACTGTGGCCTGGAGCAAACCATGTTTTTCATGAGACATGGCCGCTCCAGTGAGAATCAAAACACAAGCTCTGTGCCCAGCACCACCCCCAACTGAGTCACTCGCCCAAAGGGTAAAAGCAAATAAGGCAAAATATTCAAATTCGGGAGCTTACAGTTAGGTGTCTGGATCCAGGTAAAGGCACGGGGGCAAATACATGACCGATCTGCCTTGCAGTGATGGGGCTGGTAAAGGCTGCACCTTCTGCAGACCTTTGGTGCAACCTCTGAACTCACCAGACTTGTGTAAAACCAGGTCGCTTCCTCCAACCCCTGCGCCTCACTCCAATTTGGTTGAAAATGATTATTGCTTTCAAGCGTTATCGGTGAGGGAGGAACTGACAAACAGACAGGCACATGCACACGGGCGGTGCGATTGCACAAACCTAATTTCCTTAGAAAACCAGAAAAACCCCACGAAAAACAATGTATCTCTCATTATGTCTGATAAAAACAAAACAAAGGTCTGCTTTTCTTGTGTGCCAATTACCAACGGCGAAGGTATTTGTGGTCGGACTCACCACAATTAAGTGCCCACACATGTTCTCCATTTTAATATTTTCACACTGGTTGAAATAACCCAGCCCGTTGTGTACAGAATACCCAGGAGTGAATACAGAACAAGTTACACTGCTTATTGGGAAAGAAGTAGCAAAGGCAAAACTTGCGAGACTCAAGAACAAACAGATTGCACAAAAAAAAAAGATTACACAAATAATCTAAGAGAAAAATAGCAGGCAGCGTATTACAGTAGAAACATAGAACAACGTGACCCATTTGCTTCCCACAGAGACAAACAGCACTTAAAAGGCAGCTTAAAGACAAAGGACAAAATTAGTACTGAACGGCACGAAGATGAAACTATGTCATTTCAACATTCTTTCGCTCCTTCAGCCCTTTTTAGGTCCTCTTTCAAGATCCTTTCAGCAAAACTAGAAGGTGATACGTTGGCAGCAAGCCTGGGAGACTGGAGTCCTCTATTTTTGCATGGAAGAGGTTCCTAACCTTGGCTGTGACCTTCCTTCAGCCTCGCCCGGCTGCCACAAGTTGGTCTTACCTTGGGGGGACACACAGAGGTGACCACAGAAGCTTCCCTGCTGAAACGATGGGAAATGCCATCATTACTGAGTGCATCCCAGGGAAACACTTCAGCCCTGAAAGGAAACATCAGCTCCCATACTCTACTCTGAAACCTCATTTACTGTCTACTGTCACATAAAAAATCTGAAATATTGTGAATCTGAAGGAAGAGGAGGAAGGGAGGAGAGGAGCTCATATTTCACATGATGCCACATCCTAACTCCTCATTATTTTATTACTATTATTATATGGTTTTTGCTTATACCACCACCTGGCTGTTCAGATTGTGGAGGAGCCCCATTGTGTTGGGTACTGGCCAAACACCAAATACAAAGAAGGACCCAGCTGCAGGAGTTTACAATCAAATCCAAGCAATAACAACTAGGTACAGATAGGAAATACAAAGAAGTAATCAGACAAAACCGGTCAGCAAGGAAAATTGTGCTCTCAGCACTCTAAATGTTTTACTATCGACAAAGAGGCTGCAGACAGCCTAGCAAAGGAAAAGGTTAAGGAAGAATTTGAAAGAGAATCCGGAGGGAGTTTGAGGGAAGTTTAATGGGATGCTTCTAAGGAAAGGACAAAGACAGCACAAAAGGGAATGAAAGTGCTTGAAGATTGAACATAGACACCTGCAGACGGGCAGGATGAGCTGATGTGTCACTGGAGAATAGCAGAGGAA